ACATAATTTCAAAATACTTCTTAATAATGTCACATTTTCTGGTGGCATCATCTTTAATCCTTCTAATACAATGTTTCTTTTTTCTGCTGCAGTTGTTCTTGTTTTTGCTCTTCCTTTTTGCCATTCTTTTAATAAATACATTGAAACTTCATATGGAAATACTTTTTCTTTCATCTCTCTTAAAAACTTTTTAAATACATTAGCAACAACATCAGGTGGAAGATCTTCAAAGTCAGTAACACCCATTCGATGATAAATTTCTTCAACGTCTCGAATAGAAGCATTAGTAGTTTCTCTAAAAATTCCATGAGTAGTACATCCTTTATTATATAAATAAATTAGTATATTTTCTATTATACGAGGTAATTGATAATAAGGTCTTCCTTCAGATTCCAATATCTCTTTTAGTTTAGTACCACAATATAATACATTTGGTTTTGGTTCTACATTTTTTATAACATAATTTTGTTTTGCTTTTTGAGCTTGTTCAGTAATCATTGTCAAAGTATCATTGCAACTAAAAAATAAATCACCAGTAGAAAAGAGTGTTTGAAATGCATGAAAAATATTGGAAAATAATAATGGAGTTTCCCATTTAATTCGTTCATTTAAGTTATAGTATGTAGAAGTTAATGTTTCAGAATTCTTTGACGAATAAAATAGTTTTTTCATATTTTTAAGTTCATTAATGATTTGATCAGTTTTGTTATTAGAACAGATTATCTCTTGTCTTAGAATTTCAAAACTACTTCCAATAAACGAAATTGCTTCTAAAATGTGTTCTGAATGACATTTTTCTATTAATATAAATACCTTTCATTATAAGAAATGAATATAAAAGAAAATAATAACAAACTAGTAAATCCTGTAATTTGTTGGATTTGACTTTCCTCCAAAAATGAGCAATGAGATTTAACGATATCACAAACATCCGACAGTTTTTGGTTTAAATTGAATAAGAACAATTTTTGTTTTTCCCAGAAAGAAAGAATTTTTGGAAGTTCTTGTCTTTTCATTTCAACTGATTTAATAACCTTTTCATGTGATCTCTTTTTCATCCACAAATGTTATTTTTAAGATTATTTACCTTTTTCTTTGTACCAGAGTTGTATAAAATCAAAAGAGATAACCATTTGTAGTTAGAACTTCAAAAAAAGAACTTAAAAAAAAAGGAGAAAAAAAAAGAACTAAAAAAGGAGAGAAGAAAATGACTGAAGAAGTAATTGTTCAATTGATTAATAAAGGAGATCCAGAAATAACAAAAAAGTTAAATACATTATTTTCATTAGAATTTAGTTCTAATGTATTAATCGGAGATTTTCATACATGTAATAGTACTAATGCTGAACAAATAGCTAAACAGTTAGCAACATTAACACATTTTATATTTGACCCAGTCTCATTACCAGCAATAGATTATTTTTTAAGAGTTGGTGATATTGAAAATTTAATTCAATGTGAAATAGTTGTTATTGAACCAAATACATTACAACTACATTTTAAAACACCAGATTTATTAGAAAAGGTTCGTTGCTTATATTCATTAGCAATTTTTATTAAGAAATTGGATTATGTTCCTGTTAAGTTCAGTGCACCAACATTATTTACTCCAAGAATGAATCATTTAGGATATATTGCAATTACAAGTGGATCAGAAAATATTACTAGAGAAAATTCATATCAATATGTTGGTCCATGTGGAAAACGTGCATTATTAATTGCTAAAAATCGTGTTACAGCATTAACAGATTTTACTAGTTGTGAAAGTAGTAAAGAATTAATACAAAAATATAATTCAACAATTAAAATTATGCCACTAGAATTAAGAGCATTAATATCAGGATTACCATTTTGTGTAGTTTCTACAGACGCTGTACATACATTTGTAAATGATCTTTGTACAGATGATAAATTATGTAAAGCATTGATTCAATTCCTTTCTCCTATTAAAATAGTTAATGTTTCATTTAAAACCAATCAAATGGCTAAAATGCGTTTCTTATGTAAGAAAGGAGCATTATTTTTTGCTACATTAAAACGAGCATTTTTCCTTCAAGAATTATCAATAACAATAAACCAAGACGAATATATTGTTAATATAATTGGAATGGAAAATGAAGCTAAAAAAGCCTCATCATTGATTGAATATAGTTTAAGTATATTAGAAACACATGAATTTGATTGTTCTATTCCATTAACTACTTTTGATCAAATACGTTCATATGATAAAATTGCAGAAATTATTGCAATTCCTCAGAGGTCTCAAGATGGAAATGTTAAAAAATTTACACTTGTTGGACATAAAGGGGAAGAATTTAATTTATATGCAAAAGAATTGATGAGATGTCAACCTTCTAATGATTGGAAAAAAGACTGTTTTTATACTGTTTTAAATATATCTGTTGCACGTTGTATTAAAGCATTTGAAGTGGAAGGATTAGACCAAATTACTTATTCATTTAATAAAGCTAAAATTATTTATCCAAGAATTGATCCATTTTCTTGTTTTACTTATTATAATCCAACACTTCATTTAAAACTAAGAACCAGTATTGTTCCAACAAGTTATTGTAAGGAAGACACTCCACAAGTTCTTTTTATTACATCAACATCAAGTGGAATAGAAGATGTAGATGTAATGGAATTAATAGAAAGAAATATATTAAATCCATTTTCAAGTATAACATTTAATTCAAATACATGGTTTAGAATATCACAAAATCTTTATCAACATATGTGTTTTAATTATAAATTTAGTTATGACCAATTCCTTGAATTATTAAAAGGAATAAATCATGCAATTGTTTCACCTACTCTTAATGTTACTATTCATGCTATTATTTTAATAAAGTCAAGAGAATTAATTAAAAACATTGAAGCCTCTTTATCAAAACAATTGGTTGAAGTAATTATTAAACATCCAGAATATATTATGCATTCTTCAATGAAGAACTGGAGTTTTGTACCTGTTACTTTAGCTGATTATCTTTATTTACCTTATTCTTCAAAGAAAGTTGATGTAGCTACAATGATGCATTCTCCAGCAAAAGTTTATAGAACATTACCAAAAGTAAATTGTGGTGTAGTACTAGATAAAAATTTCAAAGGAATTACTACAGGATCTTTCATTCCAGAAACTGAAAGTATCTTTAAATTTGATTTTTCTAGTTTATTTGGTAATTATCCACCTGCTTTAAAATTACATGCACAAAATATGTTAAGGTTATACATGGAACCTGATTTAATTAGTGGTAAAGGAAAGTTATGTAAAGACCTTGAATATGAATTATATCAATTCTGTGAAAAGATGATGGTATTATTTAATAGTATTATTTATTCTATCCCACCTGAAATTACTAATGAATTTGATATTGCTCGTCTTCAGATGAAAGAACATGGAATTTTAAGACATGTTTTTTGGGATTGTTATGATATTCAACTAATAGACCTTTTAGAAAAAGTTGGATTTAGTGTTTTGGTTCATTTAAATTCAATTGAAGTTCATTTCCCTGATCGGATGAGACAAATTAAAGGTTATTTATTCACTCCTGAAAAAAGAATTTCTGATGCTCAAAAATGGGTTGAAGCTGATATTCTTGTAGATGAAACTGATATGTTTGCAAATCCATATGTATTCTTTGCTGTTAAGACTCCTCTTCATATAATCAAGTATACCATTCATTCTTGCAATTGATTATTTTTCTTTCTTCTTTTTTTGTTATATCTGTATGTGATGTATTGTAAATCAGCTCTATGATAGAAGAATGGCATAGTCAAGAATTTGAAATGTTCATTCTCTCAATAAAAAGAAAATTCAATTTGTTAAATAATTTATTAATTGATATTTAATTTTGTTATATAGAACGAAATATTACATCAAGTTAATTAACTAACAATAAAAATAATAATATATAATAAAAATTTAGAAAAAAACTAAAACTGAAACAAAAAGAAATTGCAAGAACTTTAAATTGAAAGAATGGTAAGATTACTTATATTTACCATTGTTATAACTTTATTTGCTTATTGTCAAGGAGCTGTAATTGTAGATTATGGACATGAACATATTTCAGTTGCTTGGTATTCTAATAATAGAATAGATATTCTTGATGATAGTCATGGGAATAGAAATGTTTATTCTAAAATTGCTTATCACTGTAAACGCCAAGACTTAATTTATGGACAACAAGCACAATCAATGATTGGCAATCAATTAATTAATACCATTTCACCACTTTATAGTGAAATGGAACAAATAGAAAATTGTACCATCCATCAAGACTTTACTTCATTGTTGGCACTCCAAATGGATAATTTATTTTATAAATTAGATAATGAAAATAATACACGTATTTCTCTTACTAACTTGTTTAGCTTAGATTCTAGACATTCTTCTTATTTCATTATTCCATCTTCATTTACTCCATATGACATTGATCGTATTAGACTTATTCTTCCAGAAGTTCAATTCATTACAAAACATAAATTACATGCTGGAATGATTTTAGGTGCTGTCTCAAAGAGAGTAATTGATATGAAGGATGAGTATGTTATGATTGATTGTGGTGCTCATGAAACTGCTGTCACTAAAGTTAAAATGATTAATGGAACACAATTTTCTATTATTTCTAGTGATATAATTCCTCTCTCTATTCATACATTAAACAAGAAGTTAGCTAGTTTAGTTGGTTCAGTTAGAGGTGTTTTAGAGAATCATAATTTCATGAATCAAATTAATGAATTAAGAATTAAATTATCTTCAAATCAAGAAATTACTATGTTTATTGAAGAACTTGAAAAGAATGTTACAATAACCAGAGATCAATTTAATACCGTTATTGCTGATGACTTAAAACCATTAGAAAATGTATTAAATACTATTAAAAAGGAATTAAATGAAAATTCTACAATTTTTGTTATTGGAGGGTTAAGTTATACACCTAGAATTAAAGAAGTCATTGAACAAACATTTGGAAATTATTCTATTCGTTTGAGTGGAGACCAATATCTTATGGAAAGTGCCAAAATGTTAATAACATTAGAAAATATGTTAGAGAGTCCAATGAACATCACTGATATTATTCCATATCCAATTAATATAAAAGTTAATGAACAAGAAATGCCATTTATAAATAATGAGCGTCAAATAACATTAGATCAAGTATATAATATTCCTTTAAGTAAAACAAATAAATTAGAGTTTATTGCTGATATGAGTGGAACAAAAAGAAGTGTTAGAATATATTCTATTGAAAAAATGGAAAAAGATACTAATGCCACAATTCATTTTAGTTCCATTGAAAAAGGATTTATCAGCTCTATTAAAATAGAAAACTCTACTATTGAATTAATTCCAACATTTAATAGTAGTAATATTAAAGAAGAAATTAAAGAACAACGTGAAAAAGAACAAACTAAAAGAAAAAGTGAAGCTGCTGTCATTAAAAAAAGACAAGAATATGAAATGTTATTAAATGATTTTAAACGATATATAACAGGTGGTATTGATGATATTGAAAATGTTGAAAGTATATTTGTTGATGTAGAAAGAAGAGTAGTATGGCTTGAAGATCAACTCGACTTGACTTTAGAAGATATTGAAAAAGAATATAATGAATTTAAAAATAAATACGAGAAAGAGTTAGACCTTTACTTTGACTTCCAAATGTTTAACTTAAGAATGGAAAGTATGGGAACAAAAATAGGTAATATCATTGAAGAAATGAGAATGTTAAGAATGAGTCAAGGTCAAGAATATGCTAAAAAAATTAATGACGCTATTCAACATACCTCTAATAAAAAAACGGATCGTGATTCTTTTGAGGTTTTAATAAACAAGTTATATGATGAAATGGTCAATAAAGTTAATAAGAAGAAAAGGTCAATTACTTTAAGAGGATATTGGCAAATCTTTGGATATGTTGTGGTAGCTATTTCAGTCATGTTAATCCTTTACCTTAGCTTTTTCAAAACAAAGAAGTCAACAGCTATAAAACGACTTCATAAAAAACAGCATTAAATTGAACAACTAATTTTTTAAAAAGCAGTTTTATGGTTTAGCAACTTGTTGGTCAAAAGTAAATCTTAAAAGAATGTTGTTTAGAAAGAGATATTACTACATAATAAATATTATTACGTTTTATGGTATATATAAATTCCCCCAAACTTAAACAAATTCAAACAACAATGTAATTATTTATAATTGTTCAAGGGTTAAATGAGATACATTATAAATATAAGTCATATGAATGTAATAAAAGACATAAGACTACGTTTCTTTATTTGAAACTTTCTTAGTTCTTGAATTAGAACTGAAGTGAATATCCAAGTATACGATATAACAACCTTTAAATAATTATAAGATAGCTCTAAAAAAAAATTAACATTAAAGAAAAATATTCATATCCAGTATTAAAAAATGAGTAATTAAAATAGGAGATTTTATTTATTAGTTAAACAAGTCTTGTAATATAAATTACTCTATATCGAGAAAACCTTGTCACTGATTATTTATTGAATAAAATATTTATTGAATTGTTCTGTGTAAATAGAATAACAACGAATATCAACTAATGACAAACTATTTATTTTAATAAGTATGGGTAATATTATAGCCAATCAAATAAAAATTAGATAATTAAGTGTTAATAAAATTGACATTTATTTATTGATTATTTTATATTAATCACATCACACATTATTAAAATGAATAATTTCTTTGTTTTATTTATTATTTAGATTTTTTTCTTGTTTTATGAATAAATCATTTTATTTTGTTTTATTTCTTTTATATTATTGTCTTTTCATTCTTCTTTTTATCTTCTTGTTTGATGTTTACTTTAATCTTAAACAACTTTATCTTTCTTTATTTCATTGAATTATCATTTATTTATTATTTTATGTTGAAGTATTTCATTATTATTATATTACTATTTATTTCATTTATTATTAATATCATCATTTATTTCATTTTCTTTTGTTATTATTCTTTCATAATATTTTACTTCATTCTTTGTAATATTAACTATTATATTTCTATTCAAAGAAAAACATCATAACCAAATAATAAGTATAAGAATAGAAGTATGAATTTGTAGTAATCTTTGTGTATATTTCTGACTTTCATTCTTCATTTCTCTTTTTTTGTTAATTCATTAAAAAGTAAATTTTTCATACATAATGTCATATTATACAGTATTAAACACTATAAAAATGAAGTGCAACATAACTTAACGTCTAACTACTACATTATTTTTGATTACTTATGGATTTTTCATTAAGACAAATTCAAAATTATCGTAATGTAAAAGCTATAGAGAATTTCTTATCATAATAAGTAAGCTTTTACAAATGAATGAGTTTAGGAATAACTCAAGTCTTGCTAATAAAACTTATTTATAAATAACTAACATTTAAAATCATCAAACTAACATAAATTATTTATATAACAATGGTTGGCTATGGTTGTTTGACTTAAACGATATTTCTAATTTAAAAATGAAGTTTTGTTAGTACTAAAAGATGTTAATATTAATTAATAGAAATTTTTGTATTAGTGTTATTCCTTTACACATTGTTATAGTTTTTATTTTTTATTCATTACAAAATATTAAATAGGTAAAATTGGAAGAGGTTTGTTTTTCAAAATTTTTGGATTTATGACATATATTATTCTTCAAGAGATGAGTCATTACTAAAAGTCATTTCGATTAAATATCATTCTGGTTATTATTTTTATTTTTTTTACTCGTTTTATGCTAATTTAAATTCTTAATTAGATACTATTTTAGAGGTTAGTTTATTAAAAGAAAGTTTTAAACATAACTATTTTGAGTGTATCGTAACTTAAGGTTGTTGGACTTAACTAAATGAGTCTTTTCCCAAAAATTTTCTCTCATATTATTCTGCAGTCGTAACCATAGCATGAGTTTTTACTTATTTTACTAGCATAAAATATCCAATCATATAATTATTTTAATTTGTCCATTAAAAATAGATAAATGAATCTTTTTTTTTAGAATTATAGTATTTAATTATGACTCAACAAATGTCATTCAAAAAATAAAACTCTTCATTCGTGCTTTTATTGATAGAATGAGACATTTAAACCCTTCATCATTTATCATAAAATCTAAATGAATAACGAGCGTAACAGAATCCATAAAAAGAAAGAGACAAATCTTAAGACATTCACTGAAATAGTTCTTATTGTCTTGTTAGCTCAAAAAGGTTGGTCTTTTTATATTAAGAAGCCTCATAAAAAAACAGAAGACACTTGTCAATTTTTATTAATATATAATGGATTCAAAGAATCAAGAAGTTTATTCTTTCAAAATAACCAAACAATATCTAGAGAATCTAAGTCTATAATCACTAAAACTTTACTTGATTGCTTATTAAAAGAAATACAATATAGTAATTGTAGATACCATCTTGAATTAAACATCAATACAACCAAAAAATATGGGAAAAATTATTTCCCTAAAATAGACCATATTTTTATTATTGACTCTAGAAGAAGAATTGATAGTAAGAAATTTCAAGTACTTTGTGAAGAACTTCATTTGTTAATTCAAGAAGAATTAAATAAAAGAACAAACTGTACAAAATTTGACCATATTTTATTTGAAGAATTAATAGAAAAACTAAAAAATGAAAATATAAAAGAGATTTGGAAAGAACTTATTCATTCAATGAATTATTAAGTGAATTTAATCATAATTACCACATACTTTAGGTTTAATATAATTCCAAATATCATTAGAATTTAAAATTAATAAATGTCCATGTTTACCAAGGTTAGTCACAGAGTCAGTAAATATTTTACATGATTCTAATGAATTAATATTAACTAAATTATCTCCATCAGAATAATTAACGGTATAATCTTTTGTTAAGTCTTCCGTATCAAATTCTATAGAATAAGGAGTTTCTTTCCCATGAGAATAAACACAATCCATTTTAACTCCATTTGGAATAGTCCAATTCCATTTCTTATATAATGGTGTCATTTCAGTATCTAAAATATAATCAGTTTTATCTTTTAACTCTGGAATTTGTTTATATACCTCTCTCAATTGTTTAGCAGTATAAGTTTTCCCATTACTTTTAATTCTAACAAGGATATCATCATTCCACTTCTCTTCATTTGGAGATAACGCTAACACTGACTCAATTGATCTAGAAAGATCTCGTGCATATTCTGCTTTGATTGGAAGTCCTAAATTTTCTCCAACTGTCATTTGTTTTGGAACTACCCCTGTTCCAATGAATGGAGCAGAAATTGCAATCCATTTTTGAATATATTTATCACAAAAATCTTTTCCAAGGTAATCAAATAATTTGTAAGATACAAGACCACCCATAGAATGAGAAATAATAACAACTTTCTTCCCACTATTCTTAAAGCCTTCATAAATAAGTCCTTTCACTCCTTCAAAATATGTTTTTGGTAAATCAACTGTTCTCCAGTCATAAGAAGCTCCAAACATATCAATTTGGTCTTTATATCCTACACTTTTCAAATGTTCAATAATTTTATGAAATGAATTAGTAAAAGAACCAATTAAAAACACTGGATCTAATTGGTCACATGCATAAGTTGATCCAAATTGTGGTATTCTTAAATCGATACCAGGAATAGTTTCTAACTTATTGGTTTGATTATTCCATATTCCACTCAAATAATTGATATAACACTCACTCTTCCATGGAACTGCAATATCTACATTAACCCATGCCCTAAACCAATCTTTATTTTTCTCACACTTCCCTGATTTTGGCCATGGTTGATAATCATCTGCAACATTTATTTTTGCTTCAATAATGGATGCCATCAACCCAGGAATTAACACAACAGGTGATCTACTATCACAAGTGTCTTTTTTCAACTCTGACTTTTGAACTACTTTCCCCCATGTAATATAAAGTAATAAATACAAGAAGAACATTTTAACTAACTTTTATTCTTTATCTTTAAATTCTTTTTTGAAGGAAGTTCCTATTTGACTATCCAAAATGATTCAAATGATAGGCAAACTATAAAAAAGACATTCTTTTTTTTGGATTGCAATTTGTTATTTTATAAAAACAAAATTCAATTTAACATTCTTTTTATTATAATTTCATTGATGAAGATAATAATGAATCAATATAATTGATTTTTTCTAAGATGTTAATTCGTTTTTGCAATTCTTTCAATTGAGTTTCTTTTAATTCTAATTCTCGTTTCAATTCAGTAAATGATGAATAATTATTCATTGAAGTACGAACCGGAGTTTGTTTGAAAGATGTTGTTTGAATCATTTTGAGATAATTTAAAAGAGGTTGCTGCATTAAATTAAAGACTTTATTAATTTTTGTTCTTAAATATTTCATTCATAGTTGTCTATTCCTTTCGATTATAATCTCGAAAAATTCTTTTCATTTTTTATTTAAAAAGAACTTAAAAAGAATAAATTTGATGTTACTAGAACAATTTACTACAAGAATATCTCGATTACCTTATTCATCATATATAGTTAAATTAATTATTCTTTTATTCATCATTTCCATTCCACTCCTTACTATACCCAAGATTTTTTATAAAATATTACCAATTCCAATATTAATAATAACACTGTTACCATTATTAACTTTTTCTTCAGTTAGTTATTTTATATTTCATATTGTATATTATATTTCTGTTCTTTTAAATTTGACTCTACCTTATTCATTTAAATATTTCTTATATCACCAATTATTTAATGAACTAATTTATAATGTTCTTCTTTTCCAACGTTTATTTGCATTTAAAAATTCTTCTCATTCAATGCAATTATCAATTACTCATAACTTATTTGTTATTTCATCATTTTTAAGAATATTTGCAACTCTTACTATTGTTCTCTTACCATCTTATTATATGCTTATTTTCTTTTTCTATTCTTTTTCAATTCTTAGTCTTGTATTTTCTTATTCATTAGAAATTACAACAACTCATTTAAAAAGATTATTTATTTTATGGGGATTTAGTCTTTCAATTTTATTAATGATTTATGGTATTTATCATTCATTCCCATTCAATAAAATTATTTTTTCAATCTTCAAGTATTGTTTATTAGTTCTTTCAAGTGTATTTGGTTCTTTATTATTGTATTATCTTCCAAATCAATATCTACATTCAAATGATAGTTCAGTCCCTTTCTTTGAATCAGAAACAAGTGATTTAAGTCTTTTAGTAAATGATGATTAAAGATTATTTAATGGATTTCTTTTTATTTTAGTTTCTATTAAAAAAAGTATTAATTAAAAAAAAAATGGATTTAAATTATTGATACGTTGGAAGGTCTTTATATTTTAAAGGAAGGAACTCTTGACGTAAAGAAAGGGAATTAAGTAAATCAGCCTTATTTTGTTTAGAGACAATATCAGGTGATTTCATATCAGCAAGTTCATTCATAAGAAGATTTCCACGTTCTTTAAATATTTTAATGTCATAGAAAGAATTTTTGACGTATAAGTTTTTAATGAAGACAATAGTTGATTTTAATTGGTTTTTATGACAATTAGAACAATCTCTACATAAAAATACTCCATACGTTGTATCTGCACAAACAATTTTACGATCTCCACAATCAGCACAAACAGAATTAGTAGGAATACTTAATAACATATCTAAATAATTGCTAAATTGTCCTCTTTCTGCAATGAAAATTGGTGGTGGTGGATAACAAAAAACAATATCTTGTTTTGGTTGAAGAATTTTAAGTTCTATCAACTTATCTTTTGCAGAACGATAAAATGCATCACGGAAAACTGTAAGCCATTTCCATTTATCTTCACTTGATGGAGCAGTTACAAAAGTAGTTTTACCACTAATATTAATTTGAAATGCAGCTGGATTATTAATTGCAACAACAGCTTCAACAGATACTCCACTTAATGTTACTTTCATATGCCAATTCTCTTTCTTTAAAGAGTCTTTTACTGAGTTATAAACAATAAGTTCTTCTCCATCAATAACACAATATCTATCTTTTTCTTCTTCGTGATCATTATTTATTCTAACTGATCTTGGTGATCTAAACGATGAATTTAATCGTGGACTTAATAACATTTGTGTAGTTGCTACCTTTCTTGGTGTCTGCATTGGACTATTTTTTTTATCAATATTAGGACTTCCATCTAATCTTTTCTTAGTTAAATCAACATTTGTATTAAACAACACAATACCACCTACATATTTTTCAAACATTTTTAATGACATTTTAAGATAACCTTGATAAAAGATATCATCAACTTTATTTGATTTAACAGTCTCAGATTGTCTAATTGTGTTTAATCTTGACATAGCACTATTATGTTCTCTTGATAAAATATCATCAAATGCCATCATCCAATCTTCTTTTTCTTCTTCATTTTCTGCAATAAAAGTAAATAACATTTTTTTAGAAACAACACTAAAAGTATTATCTCCTTCACTATAAATACCGATTCCAAACAATGGAATAATATCTTTAATTTTAAGTTTACTTTTTTCTAATAAAGCATCAACATCTTTTACTTCTTGTTTTGCTCTATGAACAAGTAATACATCACTTAATAAGAAAATAATTAATGGCCCATATTCTTTACTTTGAATAGCTCCATATTTAACAAGTCTTCTTTTATCATCATCCATTAAATCAAATTTTTTTATTTCTAAATGATGTTTAAATTTCATTAATAATTGTTTATTTTCTGATTCTCTTCTTCTTTCATTTAAATAATCTCCAATCTTTTTAATTTCATTCATTAAATCTTGAAGTCCTTTATATTCTTTATGAGTTCTAGGAAGAACCTTTAATACTCCTCTAATAAATAATTCATATCGTGGAACTCGTTGAATTGGAAGAATTAAATATGAAAAAATGTTTAAATTCTTTACTTCTTTTTGAAGACTTAATTTTTTTAATAAATCCATAAATCTTTTATTCTTTGAATTTAAAGTAACAAAATAATCATTTGTAGTGTCATATGAATTGACATAAACAGTATAACATTTTAAAAACCCAGTAAACTTTTTAAATACTGTAGATACTCCTTCTCCATATACACATTTCTTTGACATATCATCAAGGTCTTTTAATAGAATTATATTATATTTAACAATCATTTCTAAATTTTTAAAACAATTTCTTATTGTTTTATCTTCTCTTTCTTCAAGTATTTTTTCAAGATAATATTCTTTTAATATTTTTAAATTATCAACATATTTATGTTCACTTTCAATTAATTCTTTTACTAAATTCTTTCGTTCTTTCATTCCTCGAATTTCTGGTAAATGTCGAGCATTTCTACATCTAATTTTTGTTTGTATTGCAATAATAGAATTAATGTGATCTTTTGTTGCACGTGCATCTAATGCTTTCATTTTTTCTTGTTGACGTTCTATTTCTTTATTATATTGATATGATACTATTAAACTACGTGCACATGATGTAACCATTTCATTATAATGTTCACAAACATATTCAACTAATTCTCCACCATCTCCTTCTTCATTAACAACATAATAATTTCCTTCTAACATAAATACACCTCTAAATACTTCCTCAATAGTTTCTTCTTTTTCAATTTCTGGTTCAGGACTAGTTAAAAGTGAAGTATCAACATCTTTTTGAGGTGAATTTGAGTGTTCTATAATCATTTGTTCTTTCATTCTTTTTAACTCTTCTTTTTTCATTGTTCTTTCTTTTCTACTTTCTTCCATTTTTCTTAATTTTTCTTTTTCCTTTGCAATTTGTTGTCTTTTCTTTTCTCTACGTTCTTTTCTTTCAGAAGTAAGTAATTCTGGTGATAACTCTTTTGTTGGTGTTGGTGGTATTTCTGTTTTTGTTATTTGAGAGGGTTCTGGAACTATGAGTTCTTGTGAAACATTTGTTTCTGTTTCTTTTTGTTTTTCTTCACTTGTTTCTTCTTGAATAATTGGTTTTAAATTAAGGGGTTTAACATTATGTCTGATTGGTCGGGCTGTAATTTTAGGTTGAACTGACTCTTTATTTTCAACTATCGTACTAACAATAGGTTCATTTCTTACAACTCCAACTGTCTTTCCATCCTTTTTAACAGTAAAAGCCCTTCTTCTAGATGACTGATTCATTATTCCACTTTTATACACTGTGTCAGAAAGTTTTCTCATTGTACTCTTTTCTTTTTTCATTAAAAACCCAATTAACGCTATAATTTGTTTTTCATCACCTTTTTCTATCTTTTGAATATTTAACCCCTCTAATTTTCCAAAGTGTTTTTCTGCTAATTGTAATGCAGTTTGAAGTGGTGTATCTGTTTTAACAATAGTATGAGTAATTTGTTGCATAATAGCGAATAACGCATGTCCTTCTCTTATATCCTGTATTGAAGAAATGTACAACGAAGGATTAGTGATATGTTCATTGACCCAATCGATATACTTTTCCATCAAACTTGATGGTTTTTAAGTTTTTAAATTAAGTTTTTTTTTATTTTTTTTCCAAAAAAAAAAAATTAAAAAAAATTATGAAAAGCAATTGAAACTTTTATAATTAAATTCAACTTGAAGAATAAAGCTCTTTATTCATACAATTCTTTTTTTAAGTGTGGTTCTTTATTTTTAGTTCTATCTAAATAATATAGTATAACTAAAAATACTAATGTGAGTAAATTCTTTGCTTAAAAATAAAATATAATTATTGTTTACTAATAAAAATTTTCATATTCTTTCCATTAAAAAAAATATTTTATTAAATATTATTTTTTCCTTTTATTACATTTTTTCATTTCTCAGAAATGTCTAAACAAAACACAACAGCCTAATTCATTAATAGGTTGTAATGTTTGTGTATCACCAAAAAATTCTACTTCTTGTGGTTTCCATTTTGAATTTGATTGGTGAGTTAGTGCTGAGATTTGAAAAGTTACAGTTCCATAATCACAAACAACTTGTTGATGAAGAAGTGATTCAAAAACAGAACTTGATTCTTCTATTGAAAAAGTATTTAGCAAAAACCATTCATAAATTGGATTCAATGTAGGTAATTTTTGAATTTGAATTTTTAATGCTTGAAATTGTGGTAATAATGAAACTACTTTTTTTATATATTGTTCTAATAAAAGAGAAATTGGACGATAAACCACAACTGTTTCTTGAAGGTGGATTCTTTTAAAACAATCTATTTTATTATTTATCATTTATTAAAAAATATAAAATGAAATAATAATAATAATAATAAAAACACACAATCTGGATAAATGTGGCTTTGATAAAGTACTGTAGAAATATAATCTTCAAGAAATTGGTTGTACAATTTCTTTGACATTTTCTTTTTCCGTTTCTTTTTTTTTTTATTTTTTTCCATTTTTTTTTTGAATAAATTGAATTGAAAAAATGATTTTATAATTCTATGTTTAAAAATATTATTCTTTATTTTTTATTAAGAACGTTACTAAATATAGTGGAAACTAAAAACGAAAGAACTAACAGTAGAACTTGAGAACAACACAATACAAATCATCGACACGTCTCTTTAAAAGAAGGTTGTAGAAAAAGTCATTAAACTATTTAAAGGATTGTTTTTGAGGAACTTTTATCTAAAGAGAAAAGACAACCATGTTTAAGAAGATGACTTCAAAACTTAATGACGGAATTAAGAACGTCTCAAATGATCTTAAAGGAAAGCCTAAAGATGTAGTATGTGAACAAATTGAAAAAGACAAAAAAGATCTTCTTGCTTTATCTGCTAAGATTAAGAAGGCTCAAGAAAAGTTTGAAAAATTAGGTAAAGATGCTAAAGAACAATATGATGAACATAAGAAGGCACTTAAGCTTTGTGCTGATGTTGTTACATGTGATCCAAATCCATTTAATGAATCTATTAAAATTATTGAAGAAAATGATGAAAAAGCAAAGAAATATGAAGAAAAATTACAAAAGAAAGTTATGAAACCATTGAAAATGTACTTAGAAGCAGTTACAGTCTTAGAAAAGAGAGTTAAGATTTTAGATGAAAGAGGTAAAGCAATGGAAAAGGCTGAACATGCTTATCATGATATGCTTAAGAAACCAGAAAATAAACAAGTTGGATTAAGTGATCTTAAAGTTAATTATACTAATGCTAGAGATTCTTGGGAATATTTAAGAGACGAACTTAGTGTAGATATTAAGAAAGTTCTTGATGAAATTACTTCCAACTTTGGTCAAATTTGTTCTGGCTTCATGAAGACATATTCTAAATACATGAAAAATACTCAAGAAGTTTGGGATAAACTTCATGACTATGCCAAAGAAATTAAAGTTGGAGATCTTGATAAAGAACCTGTTTATACTGCAACTGAACAATCAATGGTTGGTGAACCAAATGTCCAAGCTAGAAGAGAAAAGGAAATTGCTAATGGTACTTATGTTAAAGTTGAATAAACAAAAATAATTGAATTTCCTTACTTATTAAGTTATATAATTTTAATCATATTTTATTTAATAAATTTATAAATATTTATTTATAAAAATTAAATTGATTGAAAGAATATTTCCTTTATTTTTTCTTTTCTTTTCTATTCTAAAGATGTTATTAAATTCTATTTTTATCTCTTATAACACTCAGTTGTTAATAACCAATTTTTAATTTTTGTTTCATTCCTTTGCATTAATTATTTTGTTCTTTTCAAATGAACTGTTGCTAAATATAGTAACCAATTTTAACAAATTATTCTGTTATTTTATTTATGAATTAAATAAGACTTAATCATTATATTCTTTAAAAAAACTCTATTTTTTTAAATTGGTTTTTAAATTTCAAATTTCTTTTAATCTTTTCAATTCAAATAATACAATAATCTTCTTCTTAGTATTTAGTTAAAAGTAATAAAAATACTTTAAAAATGCTATAACAATAATTCAATTTGCAAATTAAAAGAAACAATAATTTAAAGATAAAAAACGAAATAAATTCATTTTGCAATTAGTTGGTTCATGACATAAATAGTCATATTAACATCTAATTCCATTTGTGAATTAATATCTAATGTTCTTGTTCCTTTAGCTCTCATTTCAAGTAACTCTTCTAATTTAATATCAACATTTTCTGAAGCAATAGCTGGTAATTTAACTTGGACATTAAACACACCAACTTCTTCAGATGAAATAATAATTTTTGTCATTTTTCTCATTCCTTTTGGAATAACAGATGAAACGATAACACCCTTTTTAACCAAATCATTGTATGAATATTCTTTAGGTTTAAATAATTTACCTTCTGTTGTTTTCTTTCCTTTCTTTCCTTTTCCTTGGAAAACTCTTTGGACACAAGTTTGACAATAATCTTTATATGATGCTAAAACATCTTGAAGTTCTTTTTGTTTCTTTAATGTAGCTTTAATACTAACTTCAAGACGAGTTAATTCTTTTTGTTGTTGTTCTTTAATTTCAGCTCTATTAGCGATTTCTAATGCAACATCTTTAAGTAAAGCCTTATATCCATCTTCTTTTGAAACCAAATTTTTCTCTTCAAGAGTTTTTATATTTTTTTTCACTTCTTCAATATTTTTTAAGGCTGTTTCATTATTCTTTTGTTTAGCAATTTTTTCTGTTTCTGTTAATACGTCTTCAAGAGTAACTGGTTGTGCTTCAGAATTAGCAATAACTTTAAAGAATCCAAGCATTAAACTCTTAGTTCTATTATAAAGAGTTTGATCTTCATCCTCAAGTGATTGTGAAATATATTTTGGAGTAAGTGTAAGTGTAACAGTTTCATTAGAATTATATTGTTCAACATCACCCAATTCATCAATAATTCTATGTAAAGGATCTTCTTTATTTGGTGCAAGATCATCTAAATGGTCTCTAATTTCTGTATGGAACATAGAAATTTCTGTTGGTTCAATAAGAATAGTAGGCTTAACATCTTGAATTAATGCCATATATTTATCAATTTGCATTTTTTGTTCTGGTGGTTCTACATCAGTAAATTCTTTTAAGAAGACTTTAACAGCTTCACATCTTTCAGAAATCCAATCATTCATTGGAACCATCCATTTATTAGTATCATTAACTGGGAATGGACTTTGTTGTTGGAATAATTGTTGAAGAATCTTGTTAATCAACAAAATATTTTGAATAGCATCAAATCCTTGTTGTGTTTCATTTGATGATGATGCAATATAATTACCAACAAATCTATAGAACATGAAATAACCTGTATATGATAATAATTCTGCTTCAGTAGTGTTAGGGAATGCTTCCATTGAATTCTCATTAATAACTTTACATAAATATCTTAAACCATATGGATATTTATTAATTGCTGAAATAATAGTATCATAAAAGATATTACAACCTTCTTTTAATGATGTTACTCTTTCAGAAATGATTTTCTTAATTTCTGGTTCATCTTGAATTTTATCAACTGGAACATTTCTTAAATTAGACTTAACTCCAGTAGCTTGTTCAGTTTCATTTATTAATTCATCTAAAATTTTCTTTCCATCAAGATTTAATTTTCTATGACTTGGAAATTCTCTATTAAATCTTTGCATACATGGACCAAATACTTCATTTAAAAATGTTTTTCCTTGTGTTCTTTTAGTATAAGCAATAATCATTTGAGGAATAACTGATTGATCTTGAATAGCTGTCCAAAGAGATGTTAATGTAGACATTTGTTGTTCCAAAGCCAATTTAATAGCACTTAAAATCAAATAGTCTTCTCTGTCTGACATAGCATTACCATACAATGTCAAAATAATTGAGTCTACAATTTCTCTAACATCAGACTCAGTTTGTGAGATACAATTAATTAAACGAGCTACATAGACTGGATCGGATTGAAGTAAATAAAACAAATTACCATATAATTGAAGTTTATCATTTGAAATAGTTTCTTTAACTTGTGCATTTTCAGCAACCTTCTTCTTCTTTTTCTTTTCTTTGGTTAATACAGCACCAGCATTTTGGACTAATAAAGTAATTCTCATTTCCATATCTTGAATGTCTTTTTCAAGTCCTGCATTCTTTCTAATTTCATTTAACAATGTTCTTCTAAGATCAGTAATTTTCAAGATGAAATCTTCGTCTTCTTCTTCTCCTTGGTTTTTCAAAAGATCAGAAATCTCTTTAGCAGTTAAATTACCTCTCTTAATACGGTCTTGATACATTTTTTGTTCAATAATTTTCTTTAATAATAATCTACTCTTTAATAATACTAATAAGGTATTTTCATAGTCCTCAGTTGCCATTTCATATTGTGTCTTATCAGCAGCCAAAATCATTGAAGATGATAAAGGACCATCAACAGCTGAATTACGTTTCTTTTCCATTAATCTGTTAATTTTAAGATTGTGAAACTCGTTTATAAGATCGACGTCTTATGAACTGTTTTCCATTTATTCTCTATATTTGGTCTCAAGAACTTCTCAAAAATTAAATCATTATTTTAGTTATCTTTTATTAAAAAAATACTTTTGTTAATAATTATTTTTAAGTTCACGGAAAAAAAGATTTGGAGATTAAAATACAAAAAGAGAATAATCTCAACAATATCAAAACAAAGATTTTTTCTCTTTTTAATAACAAAATATTTTTAATAATTTTTATAAAACTAAAAATGAAACAATCAGATAGGAGCGAAAGATTTGTCCTCAATATAATTCGGAGACTCATTTCATCATCATATTATTTCTATTTTTTTAACTTTGTTTTATAGATATTAAAAAAAAATAAAAAATGAAAAAAATTATGGGTTTTATATAAGATATTTATAGACTAATTATCTTATTAATTTGTCTCAATTTGAATAAAAAAAAATAGAACTTTAATTTAACATTAATTAGTAATTTTTAGTTCTCATGCAACTTCTTCTTATAATAATTGGATGGATATTTGCATTAATATTTTTATTTAATAATTCAATTAAAGAATATCCTATATTACGGTCTTTAATAAAATCACTTCCAATTATTTTTGATATTCTTTTTATTAGTATTCAATATTCCACATCGTTTGAAGTTTATATGATGATTGGGTTAATATGGAGTTGTTTAGGTGATTTTATATTAGAGTATTCGTCTTCACAACTTTGTTTTCTTATAGGAACGCTTTCTTTTATTATTGCTCATTGCTTTAACTCATTAGGGTTTTTTAGTAATTCTCCAGTTTGTTGTAAAATTCTAATATTTTTTTTTGTATGATTCGTTGAAATCATCGTTATAGGGTATTGATATTGGTTCTTTCATTATTCCATTTTTGTTGTCGTGTGTTGTTTTTGGTTTTTTCTTATTATCAGTACTTTCTTTTAAAATACAATTCCCTTTAAAAGTGGGTTGTTTGTTTTATGCTACAATTATTGTTATTGCATTTTATTCATCTTTACATTTCTTATTCAATTCAAATCAATACAACTTATTATCCCGTTTCCTTTGTTCAATTGGATACTTCTATTTTGTTCTTAGTGATTTAATTTTATTTCAAATGGTTTTTAATAAACCATCATCATTAAAGAGGTTTTGGTGTATGATAACATATTACGTTGCACAAACATTACTTTGTGTAGGAACAGTGATGACAATGAAAATTCAACCTTCGTTTTTAAGAAAAATCAATTAATTCGTTTAATTGTTTGAAAATAATAGGTTTTATACAAAATTGATTAAATTATTTTTAAAGAATGAGTCTCTAAATGAAATAAATAAATTGTTAATTTATCGCTGATAATTTTTTTAAAATAAGATTTAAATCATTTTTGTCTGTTTAGGTTGTTTTTTTTCTTTCATTATTTTGAAGAAGAAGAACCAAATGCCCTGATTGTAATTTCAATAAACCATCTCAAAATTATCAGATGTCAGACGTTTTCTTACCTCAAGTCTCTAAAAGAGATAAAAGAAAGAATTCCATTTATTCTTTAAATGAACAACTCCTTTCTGATACTAGTAAAACTCCTGACCCTTATTCAACAACTCCTTCTCAAGGAACATTTCGTTATTCAAGTACAGATATACTTAATTTTTCAGTATTACCAGACGACTCAAATACAGTATTTACAAGTTCTTATAGAGGAAATTCAAAAAAATCACAAGAAGAAGAGATGCGTAAATTTTTATTTAATTTTCCATCTCTATTATTAAATTCTTATTGTAATGCAGTTTGTGTTTTTTTAATATTATTTAAAACATTCAATTTAACCGAAATAAAAGTATTTATGATTTAAATGAAAGTTTATTTTTATTTCTTTTTAAACTAATGCTTTTTTAGTTAATAAAAAATGATGGAAATCCTTACCATATTAAAGTATTATTAGAGTTTTATTCATCTCGAGGGAAACTTATTGACCTTTTAACTAATTTAGCATATGATGAAATTGATAGCTGTAATATAAATAATCAAATATTTCGAGGAAATACATTGTTTACTAAAATTTATGCTGAGTATTTACGTCGTTATTGTTCTGAATTTCTTGCTTCTTCAACATTACAGTTTATAGAATTATTAAAATCTAATAAACGTTATCTTGATGGATTTTCTTTACCAAAAGAAAGTGAAGAATATCGTTCATGTTTTAGAGAAGGAATGAGGCATTATGTTAAATTGGTAGAACAATCAAAAAAACTTTTTCCTGCTCATCTTCGTGAAATAATAAAAAACATCTTTTTTAAAATAAAGTCAAATAGAGGAGAGCAACAAGCAATAAGAACAATTTCTACATTATTATATCTTCGATATTTATTTATTCCCTTTGCTACTTATCCATCATTATTAGTCGAAATTCAAAAAGTAGTTAATGAAACAACTAAACGAGACCATTTAATTCTTTATTCTCCAGTACCTAGAGAAAAACAATTTTGTTCAGAATTTATTCATTTTATAGAAAGAACATTAGTCAGTGTTATTACTGGTCCTACTTCTTTTAGTACATCAATAAGAGGTATTAGCGCTTTAAACCAAGAAAAAAGTTTGGTTAGTTTAGTTAGTGTTATTCGTCAAGAAATGAGAGTAATAAGTAAGTTTTATCCAAATGACTTTGATGAAGTATTTCAAGTCGTTAAAGGAAAAACAAATACAAATGCTAGTTGTAGTGTTTGTTATATTACTGATGAATTTACTGGTTGGATGACTGAAAGAGAAAAAGCATTAGTAAAAGAAAATTCTGAAATTATAAAACAAATCCAAATCATTCAAAAACAAAATGAAAAACTAAGGTCTCAAATACTTTCTTTGAAAGAAAAGTTTATTTAATTTATAAATTGTTTTAACTCATTATTATTCCTTTATAACAGTTTAAATTTTATCTTTATTATTTGTTAGTAAAGAAATTAACAAAATGAACGAAATTGTTAGATTGAGCATTACCGTTTTCCTTTACTCATCTTTAGTAAGTTCATTTATAAATTGAAGTAACATCCCTCCATCTTCTAAAACATTAGAAATAACATCAATAACAAATACATCTTCTTCATTAGTTTTAGGTGGTGCAAGACAATATTCTGGATAATTTAAAATAACAGTAATTATTGGAATGTTTGGATAAACAATTTTTAATGCTTCTAAGTCACTTTGATAATCACATTCTTCTTTTTCATAAATGTAATATAACACAATTTTATCTGGAGTTATACAACTTCCATACCCATTCCAAAAATCAGTAAATTTATAATGTGGTACTTTCTTTCCTAATTGTTGTATTCTTCTTCCTTGGAATTGTGTTGGTAATGATGAATAGACAAAAACAGTTTTGGGTTTTTTTATTACTTTAGGTTGACTAATTGACACCTCTTTTACTTTATCTTGAATTTCTTTGATAAGTTCAGCATTGTCTTTATCTATTTTATCTGAAGAAGATGTTGATGATGAGTGAGATATCTCTTCTTCTTCTTTTTCTTCATTTCCAATTAATGTAAGTTGATAATTATTATCTTTTATTTCTTCAGTATATTCAAATGTACCATCTAAAAGAGTATCAGATTCATTTCCAATATAATGATATAGTTTAACAATTCGTGGCCATATTTCTATTTGGTTTTCTAAATTTAATTCAATTTTATTTTGATTATATTCAATATAAACTTTATCTTTTTCTTTTGTAATTTCTGCTAACTCAATTATTTGACCTAAAATATTAAATGATATATTTTTAATACTACAATGATAAATTCCTTCAAATAATTCTTCTCCAATAATAACATTGATAATAATTTCATTTGTTTGTTGTTGACAAATAACAAGACATTTTTTTTCTTTTGTATTTTCCTTTATTACTTGACAAATTTCAATAACATCTTCAGTACATGTTATAACTCTTGGGATTTTACTTTTCTTTTCTTTTTTTTCATTTGAATCAATTATTTGATTTTTTTCTTCTTTAAGTTCTTTAATTTCTGCTTCATTTTTGATTTGATTCTCCTCAACTGTATTTATAGTTTCTTGCAATTCTCTAATTAATTCATTAAGTACTTTTAACTCATTTTGTTGTTTACTCGCTTCAATACTATTTTCATTTTTCATTTTTTCTTCTTTCAATTCATTGATTTTTTCATTTAATTCTTCATTTTTCTTATTGACTTCATTTATGTTATCATTTATTTCATTAATATCCATTTTGTTAATTTTATTTTCTACTTCTTCAACTCTTTTCTTTAAATGTTCTAATTCTTCTTTGAAATTACATTTTATTTCTAATTCTTCTACTCGTTTTTGAATATCTTCATATTCTTTTTTTGAAATCATTGTTTTATCTTCTTCATTGTTAATATCTGATGATTTAAAACTTTTTAAAATATCAATAATCTCTTCATTTCTTTCATTTAATTTTTTAATTTCTTCTTCTTTTTGATCTTTCCAAATGATAAATTTTTGTTGTTCTTCATACCACCCTTCTTTTTCTTTTAATAACTTTTCATTTAACTCTTTTATTTCATTAATTTCCTTTTGTAATTCTTTTTCTTTTTCATCACTTTCAACTATTTTTTTTGCCCAATACTCTTGCATTTTGTCAAAGTTATTTTCTATAACTTCTATTTTTGTTTCTAAAAAATCTTTTTTCAGTTCTTCTTTTGGGGTTGTTGTGAGTTCTCGTGAATTTTCTACAAATGATGTATCTTTAATTTGTTGTTTTTTCCTTTTTTCAATATCAATACCTTTTGTTTTTTTAAGAAGAATTTGCATAATTCCACCACCATATTCAAATGAAACAAGACATCCATTTTCTTCAGTTTCTTTACAACTAATAATTTGAGTTAATTTATTTAGTCCTTCTAATGCAGAAAAAACTTTCATTGAGCCTTGATATTCATTCATAAATCCATCTTTTGTATTTTTGTATGACATAATAACAAATAAATCATCTAATAATGACCCACTTTTCTTTGAGATACTAAACTGAATAATATATTCATATTGACCTACTCCAAACCTTAATTTCTTTTCAGTTAATCTTTCTGATTCCATTGAAAATAAATTCATAAGTTCAAACTCAAATATTTTCAATAGTTTTATAATTTAATTTTTTATCTATTTATTTTCTGAATAATCTTTATTATTCTTATTAAATTTATAACAAATATAAATGATTAACAATAAGTGATATACAAGAAAGAATAACATGCAAATGTGAAAAAGGAGAATGCTCAAAATACTCAAGAAGTAAGAAGTTAAAAGAAAAGAATAATAATCAACAAGAAGTATATTCAATCA